GTGATCTAATTGTGACAATTGACAATGGTTACATTGTCACTTTTAGGCTAGCGTCCATTTTTTCCATAACAGAATTCAAATTTTATTAGCTTCCATGGCAGGATTTGAACAGATGATCCCAGAACATAAGCCTGGGATTCTGATTAACCAGTCCAGTGATGTTACCGCTACACTATCGTTTCACCCAATTGCAGCTTATAATATATGTATCTTGCTTTTAAAAGAGTTCATCCTTAAGAACAAGTTGGTGTGCTTCATAACTTGTAATATATTTTACAGTTTTAACTATACCACCCGCCTGAGTTAACCAATCACTAACAAGTGACTGATTATTAAACTATTATCATTAACATGACACACATCTGTAAGGCAAGGTGCCACAACACAGAGTCACCAAGATGAATTATAAGGGTAGGCTGTGGAATCTTGACTTGTATTTATTTGAGTTTAGAAAATTTAGAGACTCTTCAATTGTAGTAGAATGTGCTTACAATGAAACAATCTCTTGCTGTGGTATGTGGGGCTGGATTTTGTGGTTCCAAATTGGGACCAAAAGGAGGCATGACGACAAGGAAATGCCTACCAAGTGGCACAGACAGACTCCGGGCTCAGTTTCCGCTGCCAGCCATTTTGCATGTTGTAGGGCAGGTAGACTGCTCGCTCCATCCAAGACCCAGGGGCAAACCTTGTGGTATTTGCACTGGGGTAGGCGGGTTTCAGAAGCCCTCCTTGACCCTGTCGAGTGAGAAGTATTGGGAAGCACCGCTGAAGTGGGACAAAAGACCTGAAGTAGAGGGTTTTTAACAATGACAATGGAGAAAATTTAGCAATAAAAGAGCTGAGTAAGGGAGCAGGTAGAGGAAGGAGTCAATTTCATTGAAGGGTTGCATTTTGAGCAAGCAGTGATTTTGACTGGCCCCCCTTCCATGCCCGGAATCACAGATCTGCATTTTTAAATGACATAAAGCTCAGACTTCTTCCCTGCATTAATTAGGGATCAGCAGAATGCTTGATCATAAATGGTGGCCAATGTGGACTTCCTGTTTTCTAGTACAGGTCAGTTGTTGGTACTGCAGACCCGACTCTGGTACAAAGTGAGGTCTTCTGCTGGGTAAACAAAAATCTCATTTCTTAGTTGCCTGGTGACAGAAGTGGCACTGTGACATCGCATCTCCTGATTCCTGCCTCTGATTGCTAAATCTGGCCCATGCTTTGCCAGCAGCTGTCTCCTTACCCCTGCGTTTGATTCTCTCGATTCAGCTATCTTTATAAATTCAAGTCAAAGAAAGAAAAAACTTCTAATCTTCTTTCCCTTTTCGTCCTCCCAATCAAAAAGCACAAGGAAAGTATGCTGGGATATTCTGACCAGGATTTTTTAGGCATTCTAATTAGGAACAATTTAACTCTTGTATTTTAGACGATAAAGTGTTGACACAGACACACAGAGAAAAAAAATCCTCTGGTTGGGAAATGCAGAATAAAGGGATATAATCTTAAAAAGTTAGGATAAGTAATTACAATCAGGAAGCACTTTTTCTTCCCACATTAACAGTAATGGAAATTCAGAACCCTCCATCAAAAAAGGTGTCAATTCCATATCAATTAGAGGTTACCAAAACGGAAGTTGTTAGTTATGGCTGCCGTTTGGGTTATGGGTCAAAGGTGGACAAATGGGCCTGAGGGGCTGATTGGCCTAATCTGTCCTGTGTTTATTGTCCCATTGTTGTGCAGTTTAGACGAAAACCTTTGATTCCCAAAAAAAAGTCATAATGTCAGCAAGAGCTAGACTAAATGGAAGTATGGAATTGAACATTATTTTGTAGCTCCATGCCTTCCCACAACCATCTCAATGATGAATTCCCAGCCTCCTAACAAGGGAATCGTGCACAGCTTAGAGTAGAGGGGAAGAATAGAAATGACTTACAAACTTGGAAAGTGACTGTTCATTGCATATTAATGGTCTGCTTAATAATCTCAGCTCCAATGTATCTAAGAGGCAGTATACTTTCACCATTATTAAACAAATCCTCTTGTTCTTTCAGAGCTTTCTTGTCTGAAAGAACTTAAACCATGTTTTCACCAGCATATTTAAATTGCTTCTCAGCATGTCTATTGGCTCAGTTGTATGTATCTCATTAATTTTGTAATGAATTTTCATTGCACTAAGCCTGGAGAGACTCTTAACACACATGTGGTCAAACAAATGCTTTAATTAATCCCATTCAGAAGACCAATCTCAGTATCACAGGCAACATGGTGGCTCAGTGGTTAGCACTGCTGCCTTACAGTGCCAGGGACCCAGGATCGAGCCCTGTCTTGGGGGACTGTCTGTGTGGAGTTTGTACATTCTCCCTGTGTCTGTGTGGGTTTCCTTTGAGTGCTCCAGTTTCCTCCCACAGTCCTAAAATTTGCGTGCTAGGTGGATTGACCATGCTAAATTGCCCGTAGTGCTCAGGGATGTGCAGGCTAGGTGAATTAGCCATGGGATACGCAGATTTATAGGCTGTGAGGTGGATCTGCCTGTGCTGGTCTTCAGAGGGTTGATGTGGGCCGAATGACCTGCTTCCACACTGTAGGGATTCTATGATGATCACCCTCCACCAGACTATTTAGCTGCACATCACGTTTATCCTGTGAGTTCTAAGTGACACTAACGGCTTTCCTGGTTCACATCGCAGATCATTATCAGAGAGAAAAAGAATCAAAGATTTTCATACATGCTTTAGGTGGAGAGAGGTTATTCACTGAAAGATATTCAGAAAAGTGAATCGATTGCTGATGATATCAGGTGTGCATTGTGACCATCCTGATTACTGCCCCTATGAGGCCAGATTTAAGGTGACCAAGTTTAAAATTCAGCCTTTTTTAAGTCAAAGACTTTCTGATCTCTAAACTTCTATTCTTCTCTCACCCATTTGCTCAGTGTCAGCCACCGTTCAAATAGATAGCATTCTTACCTGAGTCAGAAGCTGACACATGAAAATCCTAAATGAAAGGCTTGAATATAAAAATGTAGGTTGACATAGTGAGGAAGAGGCATGCCCTCTGGAGAGGCCTTTTGAATGGGATGTTAAACAGAGGTACAGTCTGCATTAACAGGTGTATGTAAAATATGTCATAGCATTATTATGAAGAAGAGCAGAAGAGGCATTCAGTTTCCAAATCAGCGCTTATTCCTGAAGTAACTCCACTAGAATGAATTACCCTGTCTTTATCACGTTGTGACAGCTTGCTTTACACAAATTGGCTGCTGCACTTCCTGAATGACATTAGTGACTGCACTTCAAAAATACATTTGCTTCATTTGTTCGTGCTGATGTCATTGGCTAGACCAGCATGTATTGCACACCCTTGATTGCCTTTAAATGCAGGGGCACACTAGGCCATTTCAGAATCAACCGCAATGCTGTGGATATGGAATCACATGTCGACAAAACCACACAAGGATGGCACATTTCCTTCCTCAAAAGACATTAGTAAATCCAGATTTTTTTAAAAATGACAATTAACATTGGTCACCTTCCAGATTATCAGTGAATTAAAATTTCACCTTCTGCCATGTGTCCAGAACATTATTCTGTGTCCGTAAAATATTAGTCCAGTGGTACAACTATACCGCTGCCTCCCTGTAGGGTTGCAACAACAGTTGCAGTGAGGAAGGGTCACCGGACCCGAAACATTATCTCTGTTTTCTCCTTCACAGATGCTGCCAGACCTGCTGAGCTTTTCCAGCAACTTTGTTTTTGTTCCTGTTTTAACAGTTAGTGTTGTTGGGGGTCAATAAATGGCACTACAGAAATGCCATTCTTCCTCCGTGTTGCATCTGCAGTTAAAAACCTACAAGTTACTTCACAGACAGAAAAGCTTTCCCTTATCAGTAAAACTGTAACTCTCCAACTCAAAAAACAGTAAATACTGTGACAATCAAAGCTTACAAGAACTAAGACCAATATGTGTTTAGATAAAGATATTTAGAGCAAAGGCAGGAAAGTGGAACATTTATACAGTTCAAGAATGTTCTTACTGAATACTGAAATAAGTTTAAGGTGCTGAATGGTTACTTTTCCTAATTGCCCCTCACGAATGTATGAGATTAATTTAGGAGGTATTACACAGCATTAATGCCCCATTATAATGCATTTACTCCATATTTATTTTTCAAACTCGCGTATATTCATTTATCAGATTGTTTTTTGCAATAGCATTTTCATGAGCCAAGTCTGCAACAAAACCCAACTCTTTTGTACAATTGTAAACAATATATTGCAGATACAGGCAGAAGTTTATATCTTGCATCAATCAATAAAAATGAATTCCAATGATGGAATGATTCATCAATACAAACAAGCTCAACTAACAAAACAAAATTATTATAATTGTCTTCAGTCTTTTCTACCTCTTTCCATCATACATCACTCTCAAAGTTGCAAAGAACGGGTGTGATCTTCCCAAAGGAAGACATTCTCCCACACTCAGTATAAGAAACTGCAGTCTCAATTTTGTATCTCATCTTTCTTCACTGTACCACTGCCCTTCACCACTGGATCACTCAGATTGTAAAGGGTCTTGTGCAAACTCCTGTTCTGTTTTCAGAGTGATTTGTTAGTGTAACATCATTAACTATTACACATATTGTACGTTAATCCCACACAATTTGATAGCGAACACAGCCCAAATTTATTTCTAACCAATATTTAAGGGCTGGTTGGATGTGGTGCTTTTTCCCCCAAAACGCATTCTGGGAATTGCCAGTTGGACATATTTCAGCCAAAAGTTATTCATTTAATCACAACTTCAAGGGATAATACACATCTGCTTCTTGTAACAATGTACATGCAAATCACATTTAATGTTGTCATAAATGAGGGCTAATATTTGCTCCTAACTGCAACTTTCAAAGCTGAAACAACATAGAAAATGCACAAAAGCTTTTTGATTATATGCCCACGAAGTAATTTTTAATTAAGATTTCTTTGTTGTAGCTGGAATTGTTTTCTTACCTGATTGTACTGCCAGGATCTGCTTCCACAGACCAGGTGCAATGAAGATTGTGGTCATATGGTGCTGGGTACCCAGGTGAAAAGATTCTTCCGGAAGTTTCTCCCATGATGTGACCTCCACACTCAGCTGGAAATATTTATAGCATGAGAAAACAATGTTTGAATGATTCGTGCATAAAAGTGAACACTGCTAATAAAAGTTACAATAGGGAGGAGCTGCAGAAAGCATCAGAGAAATGACACTAAAGAACATTAAGGAGGAGTCAATTGATTTGGTTTAATTGAAACATCAGTGAAAAAACAATAGCCATACGGAGCTGCTAAATTATAATTATAAATCTTGCATTTGTAATTATAATTCCTGTTCTACCAGAGATACAATTAATTCCATTTTCTTGAGCAGTCATTCTGAGTTGCCTTTCAAAACTTGAAGTGTCAAGTAATTGTTCCAGTTTCCAAAATGAGAAAACCTGACGTTTGCTTTAATTCCACCAAAGGAAGATGGTCTGAACAAACACAACCTTGATTTTCAGATCATCTTCGAGTTCAATTTTATGACTTCAGAAACGGAGACATCTGCTTTCCTTGCATGAATATCCATTTTGGAATGAGGTAGTTCAGCATGATCAGAGGGACTTGTGAAATAATGTGCTAAAATTAATTCAGTAAATTGTTTTTAGATTAACTCATCTCCAAAGGAATCAATGAATTACTTATTAAGAAACCTATGATGCAATATTGTAGCCTCTGACCATGGTATGGCCTCTCAGCCTTTAGTCTGTTGTCTACTGCACTCAAGAGGTCCATAAAACCATAAGATATCAAAGCATAATTAGGCCATTCGGCCCATCAAGTCTGCTCCACTATTTGATCAGAGCTGATATGTTTCTAAACCCCATTCTCCTTCCTTCTTTCAGTAACTTTCAATCCCCTTACTAATCAAGAAATTATCTATCTCTGTCTTAAATACACTCAGTGACTGGGCCTCCATAGCCTTCTGTGGCAATGATTTCTACCAATTCAACAGTACTTCCATACATTGATCATTGCTTAGCAAGAAAAGGAACAAGAGCACAGAAATCACAGGTCATCTTTTTAAATACAAGATTACCCTTGGGTGAGAGAGTAGCAGGAAAAGGTAAGCAAGTGAGAGGTTCAAGATCCTTTCATTTGACTTGTTCCTTGCTCATTCTGAATGTTAACAATGTGCAGTGGTGATGTGGATTGTCTTGGAAACACAGAAGTAACATGACAGAATATCTAGAGGCACAGAGAAGACTCAACAGTGAATTAGAAGACGTCTGAAGTCAGAAATAAGGACCTTAAATAAGAAAGGTGATTGCACCAGGCCTCAATGTCAGCTACAATCTACAAAAAGCAGCAACGTCAACTCCCACATTCTCCTCAGATAGTAAGAAAATCCAGATGCAACTGTTATATGGCTTTGAAGCTGCTGGGTAATATTTGCCCATTTCATTACAACTCTGAAACTCTGATCAGGTTAACTGCTAAGATGGTGTTTCCCCTATCTGAAGACTCCAGGACTGGGGGACCTAGACTCAGAATAAAGGGTAGATTGAGGGTTTAGTTCTACTCAGACAGTTGTGAATTCTCAACTCCAGATATTCAGTTGTTGAGCAGCTTCAAAACTATGATAAATGCATTCTTAGACTTTAAAGGAATCAAGGGAGATTGTAATTGGACGAGAAGATGAAGTTGAGGCCAAAGATCAGCCTTGGTCTTATGGGACAGCACAGCAGGCTTGAGTGCCCAAAGACCTTCTCATACTCTTATTTCTTTTGCTGTCCGGAAGCAAGGTCATAGTTTTCAAAACGGTTTAGCCAACTTGGCACTGATTAATAATTCAACAACAGAAAATAAGGAATTAAAATGACAAATTAAAACAATGATGTAGAGTTAAACATGTTTTTAAAAACTGATGGGATTCTCTTGGATGGATAAATTTGTTGTGCTAAGAAAGAACTAAGAGATATGCTAAAGCTATGGCTGCATTGATTTAAATGAAGCTATATTTACATTTGAAATTCACTAAGTGGGTAAATTGTCATCAAATAAAATACCTGTAGTCTTGGCTAAAGTGTTCGTAAATAAATTAATTCTTGGTTCCACATGCAGTAGGTGGTCTTAAATCCAATGTAAAAAGAAAATTAAAATAGTGAGAGTCAATTCCTCCATTGATTGAATTTATCTCTCCATTCTTGATGTTGTATATAATTTGATGATTTATACCATTCAGCCAATTTTGTGTTGACTTTGGCAATGAATCAGAAGTTTATCTACACTCGAGCTGGTTCCCATGAAGTTATTCCCTCGCTCTGCTCGTACCATTGTTACTAAACAGTGGCAAGGGAATGTGGCACTGTGAAACATGCCCTCTTTCAGAAAACCCGTTAAAGCAATGCCTAGTCTGTCCCCCTCAGACGGGTGCATCTCAGATGATTTAAAATCTCATCAATTACTACCTTCTACTTTTATTCACTTTTTACTTCCAAACTGTCGGTCTTCATATTTCTGTAAAACAAAATACGCCTACCACCGATCTAGTATATCTGTTGTTCACAATCGGAATTATAATTTGTTACACTTCTCAACCAAGATTATGGCTGAAGAATCAGTGATAGACATAGGGTGGCGCAGTGGAAGTGCTCCTACCTCTGGATGGGAAAGTCTGGGTTCAAATCCCCCCTGTCCCAGATGTGTATTATGCCATGTTTGAACAGGTTGGTTAAAAATCTCAGAGAGGGAGATACCAGTGTACAGAAGCAAAGTGTGAAAAATCAAACAGTTCAGAACATTTCTAAGTGTAATTTTCAATGGCAAGTATAAAAATGAGGCAGAATAAACACCCCACCTCATCGGATATTGGAAAATTGAGAATTTTACAATTACACTTTTGATTTCTTTTCTACCAAATTGAAATATATATCACATAAACACTGAATGATGTAACACCTTGGTGTTGGTTGTGTTACAGCAATTCTCTTTATAAATTTGGGAAGTGTATGTTTTCAACAGCTTCCCACCCCCACCCCACAAAAGATCAAAGATTAAATAGATTCTTTCCAGGCAAGGATTTTAACAACCCAATAGAGTTCCTGATATTCAGGGAGCTGGAGCCAACATTACAGCTATGTATATTAAATAGGAATATGATACCTACTGTCAACGTATAAAGTTACACAGTGTAACAGTGGACAGAATCATCCAGTTTCTGAGGCAGTGAGCCTGGAGGTGGGAAGGCACATTACTGAGATGGAAGCTTTTGTACCAGAACCTTGCCTCCATCTTGCCTTCATCCTGAATTAAGTTCTGGGTGGGAAAACCCACACTTGATCTTCCCACTCTGCCAATTGAGGTCCTTAAGTGATCACTTAAATACCATTTCAAGGGCCGAGTCCCACATGGGCTGCTATCATTTCAGCTCAAGTGGGACAAATGTGAGGCAGCCCCCCGACCGGTAAACCAGTGTGCATAGCCTATCAGTAGTGGGTACTGGGGATCTCCTGAACTGTACATAGGATCAGGGAAGGTAGGTGTCGAAAGCTATCTGCCCCGGCCTTGTTTCCAACCTCCTGATGATCCACTCTCCTCCACAAAACACTCACCTGACAACGAGCAGCAGTCATGGTGCTCTCCATGGTGCTGCTGAATGCCAAAACCGCCAACCTCTGATTGGCTGGTAGCTCTTTTTGGGTGGGACCTCCAAAACTGGGGGCTTGATTTCTGAGGAATTCCCACTACTGCCCTCAATACAGCCTGATTTGAAGATGTTATGGCAGGCATTCCTCTGGAGAGTCAGCATCTTGGCAAGCATGTGAGCAAGACACCGAAAGAAAACGGAAGATTCCACACTGTGTGTTCAGTTCATGGGTGCCATGACCACATTCAGCTCTTAAAAAGTCAAAAACAGACAGTCTCTGCAGATTTGGTCAGTGACAATGCTGGTACAAGAAAAACAGTGCATTGGAGTTTATAGAATCTACTTCCTTTCATCAAAAACCTGTCATTTTTTTCAACACAAAATTGTAGCCTGGGGAAGGGAAAGGAATGTAAAATCAGAACAGTAAATTATTCAGCCAAAATAGTCTACTTTTAGAAAATAGTTTGCTGAAATCTGGTTTCATACCTACACAGGAAGGCAGCGTATTGTCCCAGGCCCTGCGATCTCCAGTTAAGCAGGTTAGTACAGAGTTCCCACGTAACGTATACCCTGGATTACAATCAAAGACAACAGTGGTCCCTGCAAAGTGTCCCTCATCCTGGATCTTATAGCCAAACTGTGGGGTCCCTGGATCTTCACACCTGATCAGTTCAAAACCTATCAAAACATTGGAAATGACTTTGTGTTAAAAATGTAACTTTTGTAGGAAAAAAGAAATCATCTTTTGTCTTGTGCGAATTAACTGTGAAAGTACAATGTTCTCCTTGCTGGTCTAATACCATGGCATTATCTCTCCAAGTTTATCTAGTAACAATCTACAGTTAATAACAAGAAAGATCACGCTGTCAGTATACATTATAAGTCCAACTTTACAAAATATTCCCAGGTTCTAAGAAGTGACTCAGTTGAGTCAAACAGTTGCTGACTCAACTGGAATTTGTTCACATGAAACAGGAGGGATAATGGATCAAACACCACTTGCCACTACTAACTGCTGCATTAACTATAAATACCTGGCTCTCTTGTACATGATAAACACAAAAGCTGAAAATTTGAAAATTGCTCAAAAGTCAATCAAGAACAAATTTTTAGAAGTGTGAAGTTTACAACAGCAGCACCAGTGACTCCAATACAATCAGCATATCCCAACAACAGAAAGCAACAAATAAGTTACAGGAACTATCGGTTGCATGATGCAAAGATAGAATTACACCTGATCATATTTATCAGCAATTTTTTTGTGGCTCAATTTACAGAATTGGCAGTTGTAGAATCATAGAGCTGTACAGCAAGGAAACAGAAGTGTTGGTCCAAATCGTCCTTGCTGACCAGATGTCCTACATTAATCTAGTCCCAGTTACCAGCATTTGCCCCATATTCTCTAAACCCTATTCATACGCCCATCCAGATGTCTTTTAAATGTTGTCATTGTACCAGCCACCACCTCTTCCTCTGGCAGCTCATTCCATACATGAAGCACCCTCTATGTGATAAAGGTGTCCCTTAGCTCCCTATTAAATCTTTCCCCTCTCACCTTAAACCTATGCCCTCGAACTTTGGACTCCCCTACCTTGGGGAAAAGACTTTGGCTTTTCACCCTACCAATGCCCCTCACCATTTTATTAACTTCTATAAGGTTTCTCAGTGTCTGATGCTCCAGGGAAAATTGTCAGGACAATTCTCTTCTTTCAAATTATTTGTGGTTCTGCTGTTATCATGATTGGTGTACCAAGGGTTAGATGTGATTTTCTGCTTTTCCATAATAATGAGGCCTCAATTCAACTTAAAGTTAGAAGAGCATTCTTACCTGCTATTTGGATATCAGCAATACCTTGAGTATGTTTAATTTAAAGAACTATTATTTAAAGAATTAAATAATGATTAAAGAATTTCCATCTCAAGAATTAGGGAAGGTACAGGGTGGAATTTTTATACTTTTCAATGGTCTCAATGGAGAAAGACTGAGATTAATTAAACTCATTGGTATTATGATTCAACCTCCCCACAACAGATTTCATATTTCCCTTTTAAGATTATCTACTGTTTGTAGTTTATATGGCAATGAAACAGACATTCAATGAGAGTTTCATACAATTTTTCATGTGATGTCTGTGGCAGTCAACATTCGAAATTGGATGATGCAATTCCTAACAGTGACGGTGGATTTATTCTTGGGCCCTGACCAAATACCATCCTTAAAACAGATTAGCTGATCATTGTTTGTGTGAACTTGCTCTGCACAAATTGTCTGTCACATTTCCTACATTACAAGTTTATTTAAGCACTTTTAGATATCTGGTGGTTGTGCAAGGAATAATATAAACATTTCATTATTGTATTTATGCAATAACTAATCAGTTATAAACAGGACAAGGATGCTTAGATGAACATGCAGGCCTTGTGATAGATCCATCTTAATTGCCCACTGAACCCAAAGTTAGCTTTGGATGGATCAAAATCCATTCCCTACTGCCTGTTTCATGCCTCCAGGTACAAAAGACTTTCCTCATCTACAACTTAACATAACCTCACCCTCTAATCTTCTGCCTCATGTTTGACCTGAGTATTCAGATAGGAAAAAGTGAAGCATAATGCTGAGACAAGGAGTCGATATTTGACATGTCCCTGCATTGTTTGACTAGGGAGTACATAATAACATTGAGAGCTAAAAATGAAAATTTCAGTTGCCCAGCGTTGACATCTTTCACCTCAATAATCATTCAAAGAAAGAAAATCCATTGTGTTAAGAGCTGTAGATTCACTGCTTTAAAGAATCAATAACATTCAGTATCTGCAAGTAGCACATCATCGCAATGATGCAAGAATTATCTTTTAAATCACTTGAACCTGCAGAATCCAATTTAACACAGTTTCTTGACCATCCTTAATCTGACACTTACTTGAAAAAAGGAGTTCAAATCCCTTGCTGGTGTTCTCTGCATTTGTGATGAACTCAAGCCACATGCTGTTTGATGTACTGTTCAGAACGATATTAAGCATCTGTGATCCGGTGAAGGTACCGAGCAATCTAGAGGAGCTGTCCTTACCATCAAAAATCTGGAAATCCAAGAAAAGGAACATTATTGAAAGATGCAAAAGGAAGAGAATATGACAGGAGCAATTTACTTCTAAGGCCAATCTCTAAATTGAGTAACTCCGTTTACAGTATCATTGTACAAACTGTATGGAACAAATCTTCCCCTCACATCACTAGGGTGACAATCAGAGGACAATTGGTTAAACAGGGTTGAAGCTTTGATTGCAATCCAAATAATGTCTATCATGGCCTAGTGATACCTTCAGAAGCTCATGTCAGGCACAATGGCTAATATTGACAATGTTACAATGAGATTTACACAGAAGCTTTGCCAGGAATTGGATCTGAAAAACACAGGTAGATTCAATAGTGAAGAAGGTGTTTGGTACACTTGCCTTTATTAGTCAGAGCATTGAGTATAGGAGTTGGGAGGTCATGTTGCGGCTGTACAGGACATTGGTTAGGCCACTTTTGGAATACTGCGTTCAATTCTGGTCTCTCTGCTGTACAAAAAATGTTGTTTAACTTGAAAGGGTTCAGAGAAGATTTACAAAGATGATGCCAGGGTTGGAGGGCTTGAGCTATTGGGAGAGGCTGGATAGGCTGGGGCTATTATTTCTGGATTGTCGGAGGTTGAGGGTTGACCTTATAGAAGTTTATAAAATCATGAGGGGCATGGATCGGGTGAACAGTCAAGGTCTTTTCCCCAGGTAGGGGAGTCCAAAACTAGAGGACATAGGTTTAAGTTAAGAGGGAAAAGATTTAAAAGGGTCCCAAGGGGCAAAATTTTCGCAAAGAGGGTGCTGCGTGTATGGAATGAGCTGTCAGAGGAAGTGGTAGAAGCTGGTACAATGACAACATTTAAAAGGCTTCTGGATGGGTATGTGAATATGAAGGTTTTAGAGAGGTATGGGCCAAATGTTAGCAAATCGGACTAGATTAATTCAGGATATCTGGTCGCCATGGATGAGTTGGGCCAAAAGGTCTGTTTCCATGTTGTACAGCTCTATGACTCTATGACCTCAGCCATACAACGCCTCTGCTCTTACAAAGGAAATTGAAATCAACATTGCATATTTGACATATTTTCAGAGCTCCAAATCAGACTTTGTGACTGAAATAACGCATCATAATCCAATTTTGAAAAGTGGTGTACCTTAACATGGTACCACTACAGTTTAAAATCATACTTAGCTTTATTTGATTTAGAAAGGTTTGATGGGGGTGTATGATCTTGAGACTGGACTATTCCAAAGCACTGCTGTCTCTTCTCCCACATTCTAATCTACAGAAACTTGAGGTCACCCAAAACACTGTTGCCCATGATTAGACTCACCCCAAGTCCAATTTCCCCATTAGCTCCATGTTACTGACCTATACTGGCTTCCAGTCATGTAACATCTTGTTTTCAAATCATTCCATGACTTTGTTCCTCCACATCTCTGCAATCTCCTCCTACCCAGGAACCCTTAAAGGTCCCCTTCTTCCTTCAATTCTAGTTTCTTGTGCAGCCCTTACATTAATCACTCCACCATAGGTGGCTATGTTTAAAGCCCCATCTCTGGACCTGCTCACCCAAGACAGCTGGCTCACGACCTTAATTTCCTCCTTTAAGACATTCCCCAAAACGTACAACTTTGATTGACCATTTTGTCATATCACTTAAAGTCTTCCTATGGGGATTGGTGTGATACACTTTTCTGTTCATAAATACACTTTACTCATAAAAAGGAAATCTTTCTGTACTTGCACAATTACTAAAGCAGTTTGAATCTATACAGTTTTTGTGTACCGAGAAGAAAATAAACATTGGGCTTTGACTTTCTTGACAGTTACAATTAACCTAAAAGCATTTCTTAATTATGGTAAGTACTAGGAACTATTTACATATATCTGAGGCATTGGGAGGGTCCAATAACTGAATGGACCCCTGTGGTACTTTGACAGAAAGACCTTAGACAGAAGTCTTTCCCCACGGTGCCTTGGCAGCAGCTGCCTCAAGTTTCAGTGAGTCCCTCATCATGTGGTGCTGGACCTTGGAACATGTTTGCATAGCACGGTGGCATGGTCACTGAATTAATAATCCAAAGATCCAGACTAATCCTCTGCAGACTATACCTGCATTCGAATTGCACCTTGGTAGATGGTGACCATTCGGTAATAAGTCTGGAATTATGAAAGCTAGTCTGATAATAACTAGGAAACCATTGCTCGTTGTCATAAAAGTCCACCTTGTTCACTAATACCCTTTAAAGAAGGTAGATCAGCCATATCTTTGGTCTGTGATTCACATGACTGTAGATCCACAGGAAGGTATGACTCTTAACTGGCCTCTGAAATTAAATTAGCAATTCATTCAGTTTGAGGGCAATTAGGGATGGGCAATAAATGTTGGCCTTCCTGGCCGGTTCACATCCATTAAAGAATTAGTTAAGTAGATCTGAGAAAGGTCTTGCATTCTTTTATTACGTTAGAGGTGTTATCTAAATATATTGCTGTGTTCTGTTGTCTACTTTGAAACTGTGTACGTACCTGCAGATCCAATATCTTTTAACTTTTGGCACAATAGTGAAAAAAAAAGACCATATATTTTTCATTTCCATCATCTCTGAGTTTTATACCTGGAACTCTCATGGAGTGTATGTCATGGTTTTATAAAGGAAAATTATAAACTAACTTAAGATGAATACACCAATTAGTTAATCACATAGGAAAGTTAAGCTTAATGAAAGCAAAATGAAATAAACAAAATTGTCTGAACCAAAATTAGTATTTTTAACAAAAGACATTGAGTCATCAGCAATGAATTAGCCAGGCACAACACCTTAACTCTGAGTAATGTTCCTGCTTTTTAATCAATGGTAATCAGGTGTAAGGAAACTCATCTCCTATTTTGACTTGCACCTGATTTAGAAGTTTTAAATGTAAGAGGAAGAATATATCACTTACAATTATCAAGCCTGGAAACAAGGAGCCCAGACACTGGAATACACAGATCAGCTTCTAATTCAGAGGACTGCTTTTGGCAGAGAAGGGAGACAGAGTTGTGACTGGATAACTTATAAAAAACACTCTCTTTCTCTCTGCCTGTCAGCAAGGATTAAACACGAGTGACAATACAAATTGAAGAGAGCAAGCAAACACCAAGAATGGATCCACAAAATTCATAGCAAGACACCATTAACCAACCATGGTCTCAAAACTTTACACTTCAAGGACACCCTAAGAACCTTTGAAAGACATATTCTTTCATCTTACTTTTGTACAGGACACTATCCCTTTTTAAATTGGCATCTGTTTGTATAGGCTTAACATTGCAAGTTTATTATTTTTCCCTGGGTTTGCAGGGAAGAAATTACTCTTTTCTTTGCTGAAGAAAACATTGCAAGTGACTCCTTATTGTTTCTGGTGAACTTGGTAGCTACATTTTAATTGGAGTGTAGTACACCCTTGTGCTAAATGGTATTCCTGCTCCTGCAGTGGGCCACTTCTGCCACACCGCCTCACCAGGCTGCCACCACTACTCCACACTGGGGTGCTGCCACCATGCTCTCCACTGGGTTACTGGCGTACCCGTTCCAGGCTGCTGGTCACCGGCGTCCCCACTTCGGGTCATTGTTTTCTCTGCCGACCCCGCTTCAGAGGCTGGGGCCAGATGTCCGAGGCTGAGAGACGGGAGAGATGGGAGGAGAGAAGGGAAAAAAAGAAACAGAACGGGCGGAGAGGAGGAACTCCTACTCTGCTGCCATCTCACGTCATTCAATTTTTTACATTTCTCTGGAGGGCAGTTGAGACTATGGTTTAACACCTTACCTGAAAGACAGGCTGATTTTGAATCTTGGCAGACTGAAGTATTAATCTAGATTATAAACTCAGATGACTGGATCAGGGATTGAAACTACAATCTTCTGACAAGCTGCCAGCAATGAGTTAGCCAGGCGCAACACCTTAACTCTTAGTAATGTGCCTGCTTTTTAACCAAAGGGAGAAAAATGGAATAGTTACACACCAATTTCCATCTTTAAGTGATTTATTATAAGGTATGACACGTTGTGGAACATGTCAATCTGGAATTGGATTGAACTGACCTCAGCACATTTCAGTTGTTCCTATAATCAGCAGTTGGAGAGATTTGCCAGTCAGGGTTCAATTCAAACCCTCAATACCAGGAGAGATAATAACTTATTCTAACTTACAGTATGATTCAATCCACAATGACAGCACTTTCATTAAAATGATCTGCTTTCCTTGAATGTACATTGCTTGTAAATTATTGCTGTCCTTATCGGTAGTCAGTACAATGGATTAATTGATTGATTTATTGTTATCGCATGTACCAAGATACAGTGAAAAGTGTTTTACATACTCTACAAGCAGATTGTAGATAAAAAGTGTGTCAGGGTAGCAGAACAGAGAGCAGAATACAGTGTTACAGCTGCTGAGAAGGTGCAGAGGGAGAGATCAACATTGACATTTGAGAGGTTAATTCAAAAGTCTGATAACAGCGGGAAAGAAGCTGTTCTTGAATCTATTCTTATGTGTATTCAACCTTTTTTATCTTCTGCCCACAGGAAGAAGGTAGAAGAGAGTATAACCGGGGTGGGAGAGGTCTGTGATTATGTTGGTTGCTTTCCTGAGGCAGTGGGAAGTGTAGATGGAGTCAACAGATGGAAGGCTGGTTTGTGTGATGGACTGGGCTGTGTTCATGACTCTCTGTACTTTCCTGTGGTCTTGGGAAGTGCAGTTGTCATGCCACATTATGATGCATCCAAATAGGAAGTTTTCTACGGTGCATCTATAAAAATTGGCAAGAATCTTTGTGGATATCCAAATTTCCTTAGCCCCCTGAGGAAGTTGAAATGTTGTTGTGCTTTCTTGACCGTTGCGTCAACGTGGGTGGACTAGGACAGATTGTTGGTGATGCTCACTCCTGGAACTCCCAGGAGCCAGAATGCAGCCTGTCATATATGTGTGAAGTCTGATGTAATACTTGGATTTATTCAGTGTCCTATTCTACTGAAACTGCTCAAAATGCTTCACCAGATCATATAAACTAAAAAATTTTTGGCATGGATTACTCTGCAAACTATGTCATATAAAAAGCAATGAAATAATTAAAATTCTGCAATGAAAATTGGGAATCGGTTCATTTGTCAAAGCCTCTTTGCTGAAATTGACAACCATGGTAATGAAGCTTGCCCCATGCTATTAATGTTTTAACTCTGTGGCTTTAGTTATTATGTATTACATATATACCCATATTATAAATACTGTGTAATGTGCACAATGGATAAGTAAATCCAGGGTACAGGAAGAATCTGCTGTTCATACATGGTAACTATTTAGAGAGCACCCAGCTTCTTGATCAAAAAGGAAAAAAAAATCTGGCTTTTCAGACAAGCAGCTAAAAGTTTTCTTCCAATTTCTATCAGTATTGAAAATAATTCTTCACAAAATGTCCCTGGTGGAGGCTAACTGGATCAAATGCCACTTGCAGTTTGTTGAAAAAGACAAGATCATTTCAGGTGAGGGAGAGTTCTTTACATATAATGAATTATGTAATAGTTGTGTGAATGCAACATCATATCTGCCGCAAGATTTAAAATGAAACTTATCCCACAACCAGAGACTTTTTGTTTTTAAGTATCATTAATTTTGGAACATTGTTTTAAGCTGACTGTATAAGCATGTTCCTAATTCAGCTGGACTCAATTGAAATGGCTAGCCAGTCATTCCTGAGATAACAAGGTGTAGAGCTGGATGAACACAGCAGGCCAGGCAGCATCTGGGGAGCAGGAAAGCTCTCCTGCTCCTCTGATGCTGCTTGAATTGCCGTGTTCATCCAGCTCTACACCTTGTTATCTCAGATTCTCCAGCATCTGCAGTTCCTACTATCTCTGAGCCAGTCATTCCTGTTGTCCATTACCAACTGTCACTGATGTGGGACCAGAATAATCGGTTTGGAAGCATGCAGACACAAAGTCCTTCTACATCTAGAATAGTATCTCAGATCTTCTCCATTTTTATCATTTTTATTGATATAATGCACTAATTGTAAAGATTAAAAATCCCATGTTTTCGTCTCTAGCAACATTTCAGGCTAGATTACTGCATTGGGTGATTTTGTGGTTGTCTATGTAACACTCCCACCTTTGAGACAGAAACTCTGGATTCAAATCACATTCCAGGACTATTGGTCATAGAAGTGTTCTCAAAATAGTTGATTACCTGCAAAGTGCTTTGGGACATCCTAAGATTCTGAAAGGTGCTTTACCTGTTCAAGTCCTTTCTTTTAAGCTTGGGTTGCATTGCATTGCTACAACACAGGAGGAAGAACTTCATTTTGTATCCAGTCTGTGTGACCCACCCTGGAAGTAAATACTTCTCATTGATAACGGATGCAAAAGACTGAAGAAGTTCAATTTGTCACCAAAACAATACCTTGTCCAATAACTTCTTTGCATAATTGCCATATTCTAATAATCCATGGACCTTAGTTGAATTCAATATCCTCACAACTTCATTGTTCTGTGTTATATTCTTGATGATGATATAAATTATCCTCAATATGCCACCAGCATGAAAAATTCAGACTGTTCCTTTTGCACATGAAGGTGATGATTGTAACACAGTGTCCATAATTTTTAAGACATTACCGCTGGCCTAGCTTCTACAAAGATAACTTCGGACATCATGAGCAAGTCTATTTTGTGCACTGTTCCTGTTAACTCCCGAGCCTCTTGTAGCTCTTCCACAACTGATGCAATGATGTCAATATCTCTGTAGCTTATGGCCCAGCTGCTCCTATATGACCCATTGCCTCGATCCTGTTTTTAACACAAGTCAGTTCCCACCTCACTGTGCACTCATCTCCTCTAGTTTCAGCTCCCTAGTGTTTCTCTTCATCCTGTATTCTGTTTTCTTTTCTTAACACTTCTGGCTTTTTATGCTGTAGCGGATCATTGATGTAAAGCAATCAAATCATCCTGAAATAGAGATTCCCTTAAACTGACTTCACTTGACTGTGTCTTCTTGAAAAGGTCCATTCTCCATCTAATTAAATCAAATTGCAAAGCAGCAATTGCTTAATTAACAGCTTGTGAAAGCATCATTTTTCACTGTACACAAACAAGATATTGAAATGTAGTGCTGTGCATACAGTGAGATTTCAAAAGATTTTTGTGCTCCTTAACTTGTCAGGTTGCACAATGCTGTTTTTACCTTCAGAATATCTCCTGCCTGGAGCCTGAATGTCCTCGATTTCAAGCGTATTCCTTTGCCTGGTTGTGTTTGAATGGAATAGATGCATTCATGGTTGTTGCTATAATCAGCTGGGTAATTGGGTGAAAGGAGAATTCCTTCATTTCCAGTTACAGATGCCCCGCATTCAGCTAAAATAAAGAACCAAAATAAACATTTGACTTTTAAGTTCCAAGAGATCTGAGATAAGTTTTTTTTTGTTTACTTTTCTTTACAAAAGTAGAAATGTGAGAAATAAACAGATATTGTCGATCATGGGGTATATGTTGACTTTTGGATCTTCAAAAACTCCTTTCAAAAAGAAAGGTCAACTTTTATACTAAGTTTAAAGTGAGAACCCTCCATGCTGGTGCGAATGGACCAATTCCTGTGCAGCAGTAACCAGGCATGGTCTGCTCTGTGTCTTAAACTCCCACACATCTTTCTGGCAATATGATCTACATTGTCTGCCTGACACCATGTGTTGATTTAAGGCGTGTATGACTATAAACACATGTTTCTAATCTGAAGAACTGAAGATAACTCCTAATGCAAATACAGGCCAAAGCATGCGTTTATCAGCTGAACATTTGGGGTGTAATCTGACTGATAGGCCAAGTAAGACTTAAACATCTAATCTGTCACCTGGATGAAAATCTTCATCTGTCTAAGTTTATCATCAAACAAAATGAACTATATATAGGCTGGTCTTTATGAGTAGGGTGTTTTATTTTCTGAAAAGAAAAATGGCATAAACCGCATGCAACAAACTCAGCTGAGTCTACCAGTGGATTCACAAAATACCTTTCAAATAACAATACAGATGAGATAACTATCCCATAGTTACAGGGATCAGTTGCTGGTTTCTCATCCACGTGAAGCTTAAACCTGTAGGGAAACATGTATTCTCTAAAAGGGAATTAATTAAGAGGTATAATTATGAAAATCAGTGAAAACAGACACAGGTTAATCAGGCAGCAAACTAAAAAATATTACCACAAGTTTGACCCAGTATCCTTCTGGCTGTTAGAAATCTGTAGATTGGAAACCTTGCTTTGCTTCACTTTGAAAGTCATGATTGAATGTCAGGCGTAAAACGGAATCAGAACACTGGGTAGAAGCATTCCAACCAGAGAAGTGCAACGACCAATTTGGTTATCAAGTGTGGAGTGTCTGTAGTGGTCTCGAAACAGCCCAATCTTATTTAGCGTTTAACTTTCAATTGTGAGATGAACCTGTGATGACCATGCTTTTCCAAAATTTTCTGTTTGTGTGAACATGATTTTGATTTTTGTAAAGGATTTCCTGCTTAACAACACTTTAAAAAATTTGGCCCACTTTTCATCCATCCATTAGTAAGGAAGGAGATACGTTGGCATATTGGGAACAAAGCCTGCACCAAATGGAAGGACATGAGATTCACTCTAATAACCTCAAGTTGATCAGCAAAGTACCTTCAGCAATAGACGTATTTATTCTATTCTTTGACCTGTAGTATATCTTGCAGGATAGTTATTTGACAGCGGTGCAAAATGCAGAGAAATACTTAACATATGTCAAACAACATTTGTAGTGTCCAACAGTATGCAATTTGGTTACGTTTCTCTTATGAATTGTCCTGGGCTCCAGCATTCTGTTAGCTTTGAGTTTGTGGACTGATTCCCCGTGTTTATCTATTCTGGCCAAGCACAGTAACTGAAAGTTTATACTGGCTGTTATAAAGATGGAGGAGCAGGTGGATGGTATTGGGAACTGGCTGCCTCAATGATGGAAGACATCATAATTGAGAACCGGGAAAGGCAATCTGAATGATGGAGGGAATGCCACTTGACAGGATGACAGACTGTTTAGGGGATGGAGAAGAATATATTTGACGATAGATCGGCTCGCCATGGAAAAACAAGGTCTGATTGTGGAGCATTGTGTCTTTGTGATGAAGGATGCGAAATGTGATAATGGAGAAATGGTTTTAGAAGTAGAGGAGTAGGTGTATTTCCACATAACAAGTTGCCTTCAGCCAGATATAGATTACATTTAACATTGAGACAGGCTGCAGTCGTGATAATGGAGATAGCAGGACTGACAACAGTACAGATAGCAGAGTCAAAAATTGCAAAGTAAACTCACAAATTTCTTGGAGCCTTTTAAGTGAGACATGCTTCCTATATTATATCACCACATTTATCATGGGTTGTTAGGATCCCAGCTGATGTTATTACAGGACACCTCAGATTCCAGACTGATATCTGGCTTGGTAGATCATACTTTGTTTTAGTTTAATTTAATGCGGTGGTCTTTCACTGAAACACTGAAATGCTGCAGAATTGGTTTTAACAATAAAACAGAAGTCTAGAGCACAAATGAAAAGATAATAGAGAACAAACTATGCTATTCACATATAACAATTAAAGATTTTCAAACACACAGTGAAAATACAATCCCATTTATCCCAATACCATCACTTTCCAGTACTCAAGTATCAGAGGGAGTTTGCTTCTTTACCACATCTGTAGGTTTAACTTAACTGTTTCTTTCAATTCCTGGTCTTGAGAATTTGGTAATCTCTTCCTCGATTAGTCACGCAACTGAACATAGACTTTCTCAACCTTCAATAATCCCTTTAGGGTTGTAATCAAACACCTTAAAGTCTGGAACTTTCAAACTAAATTCCTTGCAATGCAGTAACCTGTTTTTTTTTCAGTCTAAACTATCTATTTTCTTCAGGAGAAACTGTTTCCTCAAACTAACATGCATCAGAACTTCTGCAAACAGAGAAACAGAACATAGAACATAGAACATTACAGCGCAGTACAGGCCCTTCAGCCCTCGATGTTGCGCCGACCTGTGAAACCAATCTGAAGCCCATCTAACCTAAACTATTCCATTATCATCAAGCTTTCCAAGTCATGGTTTTTCCTCAAAACAAACAAAACACTCCTGAGCCTTCTAAGGGGAAACAAGTCAATGTTCCTCCAAATTTATTCTGCTCACTTGTAAAGCCTTCCTAATATCACCACAGGGGTTCCCTCTCTTATACCTTTAAGAAAAACAAAACATGGCTCCAGAAACACTGACAAGTTAATCATGAAATCCCCACATACACAGAGACCAGAGCCTACATGCTATTAGTTCTGTATATATTACACATCTTGCATCAGAAGTTGTACTGTTAAAGATATTTTCCCAAGACAGTTTCTTCGGATTGTTAAAATATTTAGTAATATATTTCCACTGATGTTGCCTCTATAATTATCCTACTACATTTTAAACACCAGAGGTTAAATTTGTTTAGCCAGAGTCCAGGCATACGTTTTTCTTATCAGAGTTTTATCTGAACACGCACAATCCAAACCCACTGATTATGTGTTCCCCACATACAGGCAGAATCTCATCAAGGTCTGAGGATTGCAGGCAATGGCTACATGTGTTGCAGAATTAAATGAGAAGTATTGCAAGACTAATCTCAACATCAGGAACAATTTCTGCCATGTCATATGCTTTTTACAAGTGGTGTGGTGAGATTCTCAATAGGCACTGATGAATTGCCGATTGGCACGACTATTGCTTGTTAAATGGTTTGTTGACACCACAATTCACCTCATTAATATTCAGCGTCCTATCTTACCAAATAAATTCGTCACTGGGGAATGTCCACATGGAAACCAGAGCCTGGCAGAATCTGGCAGATTCAACTTCCCACTCTCTACGAATGATCTGCATGATGCCCACAACCAAACTGCAGCTTAAGGCACGATCCACAGGCACAAACTACATCCACCCTTCATCTACAGATATTAAAATCTGGCACTTGCCAATGACCATCATGGTACCATACAATGGCAGGCTGCTGAGGAACCAGACACTTCCATTGCAGGACACACTGGATAGCAGTGAGAAGCAGCAGAAGGTTCACTTTGTGTGCATGGATATGCACCCAGCTTGCAGATTGGATCAAGCTGTATATTAGGGCTTTTCATTTGGTCTCTTAATGCTGCATAATTAGTACCTACCTGCATGCTCACACAATGCACACCTTGAATTGCTTTGCCCATGCCATGCTTGTTAATGCACTTTCATTTCAGCCAGAGCTAAGGGGCATTACTGTTGTATTGATGTGCTCTTTAGCACAGAGACACAGACAGGCTGCTTGTCAGTAGCGATCTGTCTGGGGCAATGTATGGTATGCTGAGATGGCAATCGAACACTGGCAGCATGTGCGAAATACCTTCGTGGCAAACATACTTCAAACATATGCTCATGTCAGAAATTGATGGGGGCTAGTCCTCACTACAGTCAGGAGGTGGGGGCCACTGTTGGTCATGGGGGTCCTGTAACCATCACTCAAGGGAAAAGTTCGCTCATATTCCAGAGTCTTCAATAAGGTCAGTCACCACTTGTGATGCTCATGATCAGATGACCTCACCCAGAATAGTCCAGGGGTGTTCAGTCGTCAGTCCTTTATGGCCAGTACCAGCAGATAGTGGAATCATGGATTATCGGTTAGGGAGCTGTAAATACAGCAGTCAGGACTTTGGCCAATCAGTCAAAGGCCACTCATTGAAGTCAGTCACAGGCCAGGAATGAAAATAGTCCTGGGGCCAGTGTGTGTCAGTCATTCAGTTGGGCTCAAGCGGGGCCTGTAGGGGCAAGGAGGATCACTGCCAGAAGGTGTGTCGGACTCAAACCTGTGTTAGGGGAGGAGGAAGGGGGCAAATGCATTTGTGGAGGTAGATCAAGGATGGTATATCCTGCAGCATTCTCATTTACCTGGTGTGTGTGAGGATCCAGGTGCCTAACAAGGCTAACTACTATGCCACCCAGGCAGCACGGTGGCTCAGTGGTTAGCACTGCTGCCTCATATAGCCATGGACCAGGTTTGAATCCACCCTCGGGTAACTGCCTGTGTGTTGTTTGCACGTTATCCCCATTGCCGCATGGGTTTCCTCCAGATGCTCCAGTTTCCTCCCATAGTCCAAAAATATGCATGTTAGGTGGATTGGCCATGCTAAATTGCACATAGTGTCCAGGGATATGAAGTGGGTGGGTTAGCCATGGGAAATGCAGGGGATGTGTCTGGGAGAGATGCTTTTTGGAAGGTAAGTGTGGACTCAATGGCCAAAAGGCTTGCTTTCAACAGTGGGGTGGGAACCTG